AAAACAGGGCCTTGCTCGAGCTTTAGGATTGTTTGGGAGAGCGTTGGAGGTTTCTCCAGACTGCAGTTTTTGCACGTCTTTGTAAAAGGATTGTAGTATGGGAGTCCATATAGTACGGACCAGTATATTTTGAGACACACATACTTGGTATACATGTGTATATAATCATATATTTACGTACATACGTGGGCGATCCTGCTTGGCTGGACATACTTCCTTGAAAGTTGCAGGTGTTGTTGCTTTAGGCAACTTAGTCTTTAGGATTTGGGGGTGTAGCGTCTTGGGGTTGCGGATTGGGGTTTAGGCAGCTGCTGCACTGCTATTGTCTTCAATATGTCCATATGCTTTGCTGTATCAGGATTCGCGGCTCAGTTTAGGATTCAGACAGCCCTAAACCCTAAACCCTGAACCCTAAATGAGGACTTGGGGTCTGGGCCTCTGGGTCTTCATCTTCCCAGAACGAATTAGGAATAATAGAAATAATAATGGTAACAGCGGCAATAATAACAGTAATAATGGAAATAGTAGTAATAATGGTAATACTAGTAATAATCATGGAAACTACTTTGATATTGGGGTTATATAAGGGTTACATTAGGACTATTTAGGGTTTAGGGTTTTCCTTTGGGAGCTGCACAGGGATCTCGCTGAGGACTCAAGCTACTTGGAGGGTCAGGGTGACTTGAGAGGCAGGTTAACAATCTGGACAACTGACTGGGGTCTCCATAAAATGCCTTATAGGAGTTATAGGTTATAGATATACTTACTATAGTCACGGCACAGACCCTCCAAATTTGCATGCTGAGGCATTGTCAGCGCAGCACACTGGTGCGGCGAGATTCGCTCTGATCCCCAACTTTCTCGAGTCCTTGGACGCCACAGCCTGAAACCCTAGACCCAATATTCTCAAATTGTAGCAGAGTCCACATCCAAAAGTGCTACACCCAACTCCTTGATCTCTTTGAAGCAAAGGCTAAACCCTAAACCCTATCCAAGCAGCTCAGGACATACTCGGCTGCTCGTGCGCATGCAGCACAGGCGGAACTTTACCTCCGTATCGGGATGCGGGTTGGGGTTTAGCTGTTAGGGCACCTGCACAAACATAGTCATTGTTTCCTCCTAAGTCCCATTCCAGTTGCTCAGGCCTCTACGGCATTTTGGAGGTTCCATGTTGAGGCTTTGGGTTTACCCAGAGGTTCCATGTACCCACTAATTAGGTACTTGGGATCTGGGTACTATTTGCCGTACAGGTTTTGGGTAAGTATATGATTGTTAAGTACTTGGACCCTTAGGGTTACATGGGGCTAGATAGGGCTTCTGGTTGTTTTGGGAGGTTGAGGCTGGCTCTGCTTTCATAATGGACAAGAAAACGGAAACTACTATTTAGGATTTAGGGCTTCTGGTTTCCACGACAGTTGGGGTCCATTCTGGCCTGTGGTGCTACATCCGTACATTTGTTTAGGGTTTAGGGTCGCTTTGGGAATGCTTACCTTGGACCCCCTTCTCCTGGAGGATGCCTCGGGCCCAGGAGAGGGCTGCACAAAACAAGCAACATGGAAGCCCTACATTTTAAATCCTACCCAAGCCCCTTTTGACAAGGGCCGTTTCTTGGTGGTTTGGACCAAGGCAGATCCTTTGGGAATTCGGAGTCATGAGGGCGAATATGTACAGGGTCCTCCAAGCAGGACACTGCATGTAGGGATGTGTCCACGTATGCCATGCCGAAATTTGCGCCGAAATTTGCACGAGAGCCTTGTTTGGCAAGACTTGCACGAGCAAAGCCCACTTGACTCTTCAAGTCGTCGCTGAGCAAACAACATCCCGGGATTTCAAACAGGTTTCCAAAGGGTCCAAAGTAACAATATGGTACAAAGTATGGTTCTTGTAGTAGTAATTTCCCTTATGGTTTGGGTAAGTATTCCCCATATGGGTACTTAGGACCCTTTGGGGTTTCCTTCAATCTAAAGGATGGCGGCTCATCGAAGCCCTAAGCTTTAAGACCCACAGTTTATGTCCTCAATATCCTGCTTGGATGTTTTCCATTATCCTTATAGAAACCTGATATACTTTAGTAGTTTCCGTTTTCTCTTCCGTGAACCCAATAATACAACCTCTGGGTAAACTAAACCCTAAGCCCTGAACCATAAACCCTAAACCCTAAAACCCTAAACACAGTCAACCCTAAACCCTAAACTCACGTCCACAGCTGAGGTTTTTCCGCTCCTCTCCTCAGAGACGAGTGATGTCGTCGTGCAACCATACAACTCGGTCCTTTGCCGTGGACTTTAGGACATTCATTGGGGTAGTATTCGAGTTATATTGGGGTTATATTGGGATAATGGAAAACGGAAACCATTATAAAGGGGTTGTTGGTAAGGTTTGGGGTCTAAGGTTTAGGGTTTAGGTTTGGGGTTCAGGGCTTTGGGTTTGAGGGGTTGTGGAGCAATCTGTGCCGATAGTAGGAGTTCGAGGTAGCCCCGGCTTTAACCCTAAACCCTAATCCCTAAACCCAAATCCCTAAACCCCAAATCCTAAACCCTGATCCCCCAACCCTAAACCCTTGGGCGATAGTGCCCTAGGTTGACTGCGACTGATCTACATGAGCTACAGTCTAAGCTCCTTAAAGGGGGAGCTATACATAGGGGCCTTTTTAAGCCGGATGTAGGGTTGTATTAGGGTTCTATTGGGTAGGGTTTAGGGTCTAAACTCCATAACGGGGTTATATAGGGGATTATACAAGGGATTATTATGGGGGATATTAAGGGGGATGCTAGGAGTTTAGGCTAGAGCTCACACAGGTGCTTCGAGTTGTGGATCCCCTTTTTGGAAGTTAGGATTATAACCCTAGACCCTCAACCCCAAACCCTAAATCCTAGGGGGTTTGGTGAGGGACCCCAACCTACCTTCATTGCAAGTTCGACCTGGCACATTTTAGAAACTCCCACGACAATGAACAGTCATTTGAGCCTGAAGGTTTAGGGTTTAGGGTTGTATAGGAGACTGCTAGGAGTTTAGCCTATGGCTCATTTCAAGATCTTCCTTTCGTGGTTGGATGTAGCTGTGGCATACGGTGCGTCAAACATGCCTCAGAACCTTAATTACTGGGTAGGCCGCTGGGATATTTAGTATTTGCCCTAATGGCTTTGACAGGGGACCCTATACATTAATATTTTTCCAATTGTTTCAGGGGCCAACCCAGATTATTCAGGTCACGACCTTCCTTTGCACCCTCGAACGCTGACAGCCGCTGACAGTCCCACGCCTCGACGCCCAAATCCTAAATGGGGGGATGTCAAAATTATGGTCCCTTTTTGGGTACCCTAAATATTAGGTGCCGCATTATCATAGGGATCCAAAAAGGGACCAGAATTTTCACAACCACACAAATGGCACTTTCCAGAAACGAGGGCATATAGGTTGCCCAAAAAAGGTGACCCTCATTTTTTGCAAGGAAAATTTCCATGCGGCTCTACTGGGTAGGCCCCTGGGATATTTGATATTTTCCCTAATGGCTTTAATAGGGGACCCTATATATTAAGATTTTTCAAAGGGTTTGAGGGGCCAAGCCAGTCTACATAAGCTTAAATCATCCTAAACCCTTTAAAGGCATCCTTGAATTTGGAACCACCTAGATGATGTCATGTGATCTAGCTCAGGTGTTGACGCTGAAGAGGCTGCGGCGGCTGCAAGGATGTAAGGTTTTGGGTTTGGGGGCTAAAGGGCGTTCAAAAAGAAGAATGCTTTGGGGGGCCATACAGAATAAGGAGCATGGCACAGAACTGCGGGATCCTAATTTTTGAACAACACCCTAAACGCTAAACCCTAAACCCCAAACCCTAAACCCTAAACCCAAATCCAACTCATGGACTTCAACTCTAGTCTCATATGAGCCATTTTCTAAACTCCTAGTATCCCCCTTAATAAGCCTTATAGTAGTCCCCTATATAATCCCCTATATGACCCCCCCCCCCTTTAAGGAGTTTAGACTATAGCTCATATACAATGTACCAGTCGCTCTGCGACCCTAACGTAGAATCGTGATTGAAAAGGGCTACGGGTTTTAGGCTTTCTAGGCTTTAGGGAGAGGAGCCAGCCCCCCAAAGCAATTGAAGCCACTACACGGACAGTTCAAAAAGCTGCCAACATAAAATCATGATCCTGATAATTCTTGGTACCTCTTGGTATGGGGACCCCGGAACTGGACAGGTGAAAAAGTCACAAAATGTCAAGTTCGAGCTTGCAGAAATTGGGTCCCCAAATATACGCCGCAGTTTATTACAGACCTTATCAAAGAGATCGCTATATATCACTATCATCATGTCCCCAAAAAAATTCAACCCCGATGCCACGCCTTTAAAGGAGCCAACATTTTTTCAAAACCCCCCACCGCTGCACAGGCTCGCCTTGAGTGCAGACTGCGTGGTTGTCCACCCTAAACCTAAACCATTGCACAGGCTTGCCTTGAATGCAGACTGTGTGGTCGTCCTGGACAACACCGCGCTGAACCGAATTGCCATGGATCGGCTGAAGCTCCAGAACCCAACGCCAAGGCCTCAGGTCTGTAGGTTTGGATTTAGGGTTACGGCTTTAGGTTACAGGATTCATCGACTGGTTGAAGCTCACGAGCACCAACTTCGACAGCTCAGGTCTATGAGATTTATCGGTGTCTACGTGTGGGGATTCTTAGGGTATTTGTACGCAATCAATATAGAGCTTAGGCCTTCACAAGAAGTACATGTTGCTTGACATTTTGAATGATCGTAATATGATGCAGTCAGTATCTCCCGGCAGTGAAGTGTTTAAAGTCTATGCGTGCGTGAGTGATGCCAACCTACATGAGGGTTCCTCGGCGCATCCAGAGGTTCATAAAGAAGGAAGTGTTTACACGATGCTCCCAAACCTCCCAGGCTCCGCACCCGCGACACGAACTTAGCTTGTTCGCGTTGTAGTCGATGGTAGGATGTTGGCAGACTGTTGCACGGGGCCAGTGCAACCCTGATGACCCAGAATGTCACTAAAGTTCTGAATGAACTGAGGTTTGCTCAGATCAACACACTGGTGTCGACAGCAGCCTGGATCAGCATAGCAAAGTTCCAGGATTGGACTGGGCTGCTGCAAGGGCCTCCATGATTTCGTACCGTGATTCCACCTATGTGTGTTTGTGTATATTGTTGAAAACATCGTCTTGTGTCTGCTGCCTAAACCTACAGTACTTGGAGGGCCAGGGGGACTTAGTAAGTAGGTTAATAACCCCTATAATGGTAACTCTCATAGCCTCTATTAATAACCTACTTACTAAGTCCCCCTGACCTTCCAAGTATCGCAAAATGAGAGGAAGACTTTAGGAGGACCCCCGACCCTGTAATAGTGACTATTATGGATAATAAGGATTATATTAGGGTCCTCTTACATCCCTAGTATACCACTATTACAGGGTGGGGGGTCCTCCTAAGGAAGACTACTTTGAGCTATCCGAACCTTGGTCTAGCGTTCAGGGACAGAGTCCTAGTTTTTGTGGAGCAAGGCGGCCTTAGGACCTTGAGCCGTGTGAGTTGTGATTTGGTTGTATAGGTTTAGGGTTTAGGGTTTAGGGTTTTGTGTCTATAGTCTACAGATATCCAGTCCATGGCGTTTGTTTGGACTATTGCTAACAGGCCAAAGAATACAGAAAAACAAAGGCCTCAATGGACGCTTCTGAGCGAAGGTGTCCCCTTTGTACAACTCCACCCCCTGCAAGAGCATGTTTTGAGAAGCCTCCACACAGTCATGCCGAGTCATGCCATGCATCTATGCCTAAGCGTCTAGATTCTAGGATTCTGAAGTAGGCTGCACAGAGACGCTCCAACGTAGCTTCATGTGTGAAAGTGCGATGAGTAATGTGATGTTGTATGAATTTGCTTCTTACCCAAGCATCCTTAAACGGAATTTGAACATCTCGGAAAGCTTCTTCCAGTGTGGAAATGTTTTGAGCTGCGCCGGCTATCCTAAACCCTAAAATCTGAGACCCTAGTCCCGAACCCTTGAACCCTAAACCCTAAATCCTAAACTCGAAAGTACAGCGTTCGCCCCTCGATCAAAAGAGGCGTTGCAACAAAAGCAAAACTCTTTCGATCAGAGGTCATGGCCGCCAGCACCACCACTCTGCGATACCCTGGCTACATGAACAACGACCTGACGCTCGGACCCTAAACCCTAAACCCATGAACAACGAGCTGACGCTCACACACCTGTCCAGTTACTACAATCAGTGTCAAAGTTAAGAATTGTGGGGTAGAGTTTGAGGTTTCGGGTCACTGCAACATCCAATAAGAAATATCGCCCCAGATTGGATCTAGAGTTGGTTGCATCCCCTGGGAATTGCGTGCGATGAGTCTGCAGGGACTCATTATCCAGGGTGTAGGGCCTAGGGCATCCGAAAGACTTACACGGGCTTCTGCCAATACAGCTGTTCCTGTACCATAGAACGTGTAGAAATAGGTTTGTTTATGCGTTTCAGTATTCTCCCCAATATATCCCCTGGTATTAAACAGCGCCCCACGCCCGAAGCTTAAAGATTCCCCATCAGACAACTTTTACATTGAGTGTCATACTGCCTAGCCCCGAAGCCCTAAACCCTCAATATTGAGAGGCGGTTGCTCCTCCTTCTTACAGCTTGTGACCCTGAACCCTAAACCCTAAACCTAAACTGTAACTCACACACTTGGAGTTCATGGGCAGTTATAATCGGCTGTACTTGCATGATAGTCAGAACGGTAGCTGTAAGTTCCCTTAACCTCCAAACCCAACCCGGGGTAACTGTTTAGGGTTTGGGGTTTAGGGTTACTCCTACATGGGGGTTGTCCTAAAGGTCGTTGTGAAGGAGGGACCATTGGGAATACACTTCCTTAAAAAGGGGATCCTAACCAAACAGGGAACCTACATTACGGCCATGTTGGGGACAGGTATTTTGAACAACTACCACATCCCCCCGATTTCGGGTAGCGATCTGAGATCAGGATTGGCATGCTGGCTTCCCTCATTCCAACACCGAAGTGCCATTTCTTGATGACCGGCTACACGCCCTTGCTCCTTGGCTTACGGCTGGGTTGAAGGGTCCAGGTACCTAATTTGGGCCAATAAAGGCTTCCTATGTACGCGTTTTGTGCCAAATTACATATTAATCAGGTAGGGTTTTAGGGATTAGGCTTTACCAGGTTTCGTGAGGCTTAGACCCTTTTAGGGATTAGTGATTGGCACCTAGGGTTCAGCAATGAAGCTCCTTGTCCCCTTCGTTGGAGTCCTCGGATCCTGATAGAGAAAAAGTTGACCAGCAAAAGGGCTCTTATTTTATTCGTATTTTCTCCGGGTTCTATCAGGGGTTCCACATTGCTGAAACGACCCATGTAGCTATGTGCCTTGCAATTTGGCCCCCAAAGTAAAAATATCGCAAGCCCGCAAACACTACACCCTTCGGCTTAGTTATAACCAGCCCTCCTCAGCTACCAGAAAATCGGGTTTGGGGTTTAGGGCTCTACCACAGTTTAGGGCTTCGGGTCTCGGGTTCACATGGAAATGCAAATGGACAATGGCATGGAAACTGTGATGATAAAGTGGTTGGTAGGGTGATTTTTAATGTAGAAGCCCATGTCCATGTAGCCCCTACACAATCTCATAAGAGGCATCTTGACAGACACACCTTCTATACTCCAGGGATGCGTGAAGTACGTTTCTTTGACCTCTAGACTCTAGACCCTAAATCCTGACCCTTGCGCGCAACTTGGGTCGATCAACCGCTTCTTCTCACGAGGACCATCGACAGGCAAACTTCCACTGTGCGGAAGACGACTGTGACTTGGATGACCTGCATGGCCTGGAACCCCTTCAGGGTCTTATTGGGAGGCGTGTAGGTTATGTATATGGGTAGTATTTAGTATTAAGGAGGCTTATATGGTGAGAGTATATAGGAATACTCTCCATCAAACTAAGATGGAATCCCACAGAAGGATTTGAATCTTTGTGGGGCACATCTTGGGATTCATGTTTCTCGCAGTTAGCATTGCTTATAGAACTCTATGAGAAGCAGCGCACATGGACAGTGACAATGCACCCTCTCCCTCACCAACCCTTGATAACGAATATTCCCAATCTAGTGCCAGCACATGATGGGGAATCTTTACTATCTGCTTGTTGGCTGTGACGGCAGCAGCGGCGCCACAAGTACAGGAAACTCTCGAGTAAGTCGAGGCCTGAATGCTTAATTCGGAAAGTGTTGGTCTGCATTCATTTGTATCGAAGTTTTCCTCAAAGTACTTTTCTGACTCTTTAGAACCCAACATCCTAACACCCCAGCAAACTCGATCTTTGTATGCAGGCCCCTTGCAGTCGCTCGCTTGGAGCCCTCCGACCTGCAACATCTTCTGTTAGGCCCTAAACCCCTAACTCGCACAGTTAAGGATGTAGGGCTGAGGGTAAACCCTACATCCCAAACCCTCCAAACCCCAAACCTTCGAATCGCTACCTGCACGTCGTCCCAACCCTTGGTCCAGATCATGTCAGGACTAGGCTCCAAGCAAGGCATGCTCTGGGAGTAAAGGCTAAGGGTTAAGGGTTAAGGATTTAGGGTTAAGGGTTTAGGGTTGAGGGTTTAGGGTTTCGGGTTGAGGGTTTAGGATTCAGGGTTGGTTTAGGGTTTAGGGACAACTCTTAAGGGTATTTATCTAAGGTTCA